TAACTTTGAAAATTCCTCGACTATGTAACACACTTAAAATACACAATGGAACATTTGTGTATGCCAGAAAATTATGTATTTGTTTGTCAAAGGACGCAAATGCAGTAAAGCTTACATCTAAAATTATTGTTTGCAATGCTAAAACATGAATGCAAAATCTCTATTTTTGAATAATAGACACAGTGCACAGATGCTTACACTGCAAATGGCAATTTCTAAATTTTAAATTGAGAACTGTTGAGTTATTTGACAGATGATTAAACTTGAAGGTAGTAATTTCTTTTTGTGTGGTATTTTCTTTTCAATATACTTTATAATCTATTGTAAGCTATGTGCTAGTTCCTTCTTCCATCCATATACTGCCTGCTCCGTGGATTGAAAAGGAACTTTTTAAAATTGCCTTCTTCTAACAAGCAGTAGTTTGAGAAAGAAATGTTGGAGTTTAGACCATTGGTATACAGCTACAATGTAAGATTATTTTTAACATGACTTTATAGAGCTAGAGCCATTTGGAGACCAAGAGACAGATGTCTGAATGGCATCTACCACTGAAGATGCATGGTATGAAATAATCCGATAAGCTAAAGGATGACGCCAGCAAACTACTTTGAGGTAGTTGTGCCACATACAATAAGCACAAACAAAAACAGAGGAACAAAGGCTTTAGTGTCAAAATGCTATGTTGCTTTGTTCTGCTGTGCATTCTGTTTGGAATGCTGTGATCCAGTTTCTGACAAGAAACCTACCGCAGATTTATGGTAGATGAGAGGGAATAGGGCTGAAGGCGTGCTGATATAAAATGTTACCTGCTTTATTTCACAGAATAGCATCCTCAAAGGTGTGTTTAGTGATGGAAATGTTCAGATTTGCTCTGCGCCCAGGTGTTTTAAGTCAGGATTTCAGTTTTCACTTCTAAACTGGAATATTAAAAATGTTGTATTGCTTAAAATGCACCAAACAGTAAATTGGAAGTGAGAAGTGTTGTGATATATTGTTAAAACAGCCTTTTCTACATTAGCAATTATGTTGGTTTCAGATTGTCTTAAATATTTATTCATGCAAATTGTAGCTACTGCAGTTACTGTAAATCTCTGATGGAAATGCAATAAAAATCAAAGTTTCATACTGATGCTTTCTTAAAAGGCAATATCTAGCAGTAGATCCTCCTGAGATTGGTCCCAGTCTCTGGCTCAAAATTTCAAGACTATCTTGGGGAATTTCTTCCAAAGGTCCAGAAGAAATAGAAATAGGCCTTAACCCCAAAACAAATGTTGAGTTCTGTCCTTCTCCATAGTTTTTGCTGAATCTTGTTGTGGCAAAATCTGTTGCCAGCCTGAATAAATGCATTTAATATAGAGGGGATCAAGAAGGAAAACTCCAAGCTGGCAATTTCCTTGTGTGTGACTTGACTGTATAGCCCTGTAAACCAAAGAAGAGGCAGCAGAATACACAGAAGACAAATATATATGATTCCTGGGATCATAGCCAGGGTCCCCAAAGGTTAAGAGATTCTCTGCAATGTTTATTGAATTCTTATGAAAATGGCTAATACTGGGACATTATCTGGGGACACAAGAGTTCACACCCTTCAAAGCTGGCATCTCACACTTAAATATACCACCAATGCCAAGATTATGGGAAAGGCAGTGACTGCTGACACCCACAACTGTGCCTGTTTCAGTAGCCATGGCCAATGTAAACAAGGTAACCTTCCCCTGACCCCACACACGTTGTAGTAGTTGGTGTCAAAGGTCACTAGTAGCATATTGCAATAATTATGATGGCATAATAACCTTGTGAACTTTCGGGAAACATCAATTTGGCAGCTTCTGCATAATGTGGCTGGAGGACCATAGAAGGCAAGATCGCTTTAGATGAAGCAAAATGTATTTGACCGTTGAGTATCCTATTTTCCACCTGCATAATGTGCCACCCCAGTCAAGAAACTGATCATGCAACAGGCAGCTCTTTTTCAATATTCCTGATCGCCTGTTGCTAGCATTTTCAGGACATTGTGAGCAACCTAATTGGAACATCAGAAACTGATGCAGTTGAGCTAACTCATGTCATCCAGTGATGCAGCTCATTTACAGCACCCAGGAACATAAAAACCAGTGGCATTTTACAGTGTATGGTGAAATTTTGGTATAAGTTATTCAATTAAGAAGTGAACTGTTATGTTCAGCTGAAGCATTGAAGTGCCTCAGAATATTGATGTTGTTGTGGAGCAGTCAACAAGGAAAAGACATTTTCCAAAGACCTCTTTGTGAATGTCATGATGCTTTAAAGAGACCACATGTAAAACATGATAAGCATAGCTTGGTTACTTGTTATTGTGAAGTTGGTTAGATCGACCACGATCTTATTGAATGATGGAACAGATTTGAAGAGCTAAGTGATCTATTCCAACTTCTATTTCTTACATTGCTCCAATTGGTGGGGTAATTTTTTTGTGTAACCTAGTATGTTTTGATTTAGCGAGCTATAATATATCTTATCTGATGTTCATTTCAAATTTCAGTTATCGTTCAAAGTCAGAATTTATTATTCACTGTTATTAAATGCCTTAATGAAATCTGATGTTACACGTTCTGTTCTATGGCTACTGACTCCTTTACCCCTCCCTAGCTACTGTCTAAGGCTGAACTGTGCTGTGTGCAGCTTCAGCATCTTAATTTGCTCTATGCTGAGCCTCCAACTCCAACTTTTACTACCTACTCTCACCTTTATAACACTGTCCATTTCACAATGTTTCAACTTCACCTGAAACCTTCAGCCATGCATTTGTTAGCTTCAGACTTGCCAATTACAGTGCTCTCTGAATGACTTCCCAACTTCTCCCTCACACCCACAATAAACATCAGCTCATCTGAACTCAACTCTTTGAATCCAAATTCCTACCAAGTCCTGTTCATCCATAGCCCCTGTAGTTGCTGGCTTATGTTGGATCCCAGTCTAACAGTATCCTTTAATTTAAAGTTCTTATTCTTGTGTATAATCTCTCTATGGCCTGACCCTTTCCTTTCTAAATTACTTCCCCCATGATCCCTGCACTTCAATACTGGTTTCTCCCACATCATTGATTATAATCCCTCTATCACTGGTGCCAGTGCCTTCTGTAACCGAGGTTCTAAAGTCTGCAATACCATGCCTGACATTTCCATCTCTATTATTCTCTCCTCCTTCAGGTTCCTATTTAAATCATAGCTTTTTGATGGTGATTTTGGTCTCCTGTTGTGGTATCTTTCAGAACTTTATGAAAAATATGGACTGTTATAATTCTTGTGAAGCACCTTTAGGCTTGTTCTGTTAATTACATTAAAATGAGATGCTGTAGGTGTTCAGTCCTGTGGATGGAAGCTGCATTAATTGTTGGTCATTTGGTAAAATGTCACTTTACAATGGAACATGGACATTATTGTACAGAAGGATTGAGTAGTATACTATGGTAATGGCCTATCACTGGACTGTTAATTCAGAGACTCAGATAATGTTCTGGGGACCAAGGTTTGAATCCCGCCATGGCAGACAGTGGAATTTGAATTCAATAAATATCTGGAATTAAGGAGTCTAATGATAACCATGAACCCATTGTTGATTGTTGGAAAAACCCATCTGGTTCACTAATGTCCTTTAGGGAAGGGAACTGTCATCCTTACCTGGTCTGGCCTACGTGTTAGTCCAGACTCACAGCAATGTGGTTGACTCTCTACTGCCCTCTGGGCATTTAGGGATGGGCAATAAATGCTGCCTCGCCAGCGATGCCCTCATCCTGTAAATGAATAAAAAAAAGACTACTGATTTATTGCTTGATAACCTGTGACATTAGGTCCAAGAACATAAATTCATAGTCACTGCTCTAAGTCAATGGTGACTAGCTTGAACCTGTTCTGTATGTTTTGTCAACTCATTTTTGCAAAAGTAGGGTTTTTGTCAGCAGGCGAAGAAATAGCTACTAGTTGCGGAATTTCCTGACATCTGGGGAACACACGATACCATAGAAAACCAAAAGACCAATGTTAGCCACTAATTAAACCAGCCAGTTTTGTTTACTGGACTGTTACCATAATCTGCCTGTACCACTTGATATCACAAACTCTGAATTACTGGGTTTATTTAAAAGTTTGATTTTAGAGATTGTCAGTGTATTTCTACAATCTAATTTCTACAATGTTAATAATGCTTCTGAAGTTGTATCTGATAAACCAGTCGTTAGAGTAAGGACGGTTACTGGGTAGTTGCACAGTCCAGTGTGTTACTGCGTAAATCAGTGCCAGGAAAGCCTCACTTTGGTT